TATACACAATCGAACAAGTAATATAGTAATGAGTGAGTATCGTCTCCACAGGGATTGGAGGGATATTGAATAAAGCTTATGCACTATTCTAAAATAACTAATTATAGTTAATATGATGGTATAAACAAATGACAATGTTGTGGCAAAATGAACTATATACAGATGAAGTTGCAATGGCAATATGGAAAGGTAGCAAATGGAAATGATGTGACAAGATGAAATGTAACCAATTAAAAATGCTAATGGAAAATAGATTGAGAATTCAGGAATGAATGGGATAGCCGGCAATCCTCACACAAACAAACTACAATGGGAATGATTGGTGGGCAACTAAAGAATCTTAAGCCTTGTCTATTCGAATGGTTCAAGCTTCTATGGCCTATTTGCTAGACAGAGTTTACTAAGAGTGTCCCTACGCTATCTCTAGTCAAGGAACCTGACAGATAAAAATGCCACGGGAAATCCTCTCAGCCTCAGCAACAACATCTAACCTATCGAATAAGCTCAACTCCTATTAGTTGTTGAAATCCTAACTTAGTTACTCTCGAACACTAATGTTGGATTAGGCTCTAGTTATTAGATAAAACCCATTGTTCACGTTGATCTTCCCCTAGTTTATCTCGAACACTAAGTAATATACTTAAGAAATGACTACTCTCATGCCTCCTATAATCTTAAGAAATTTGAAACAATGAACAAAACAAATAATAACATAAAAACATAAATCATTCATTTTAACAAACACTTAATCATCAAAAGTAAACCCATACTAAATAAGGTTAGTTCATGGTGGGGTACAAATTATCCATGGAAATAATTTGTTCCTTACAACCCATAAAATATAAAATGAAATCAAAAGGAAAAGGTAGTGGAAACTCCCAACACGCACGTTGCCGTGAAATCCCTCGGCCACCACGAAACACCTTAGCGACACCAGCTCCTCTCGGATGCACAACTCACCACTTCATTGAGCTTGGATATGGAGATTACCACTAAAAAGATGAAAAGGAAAAAAATAGAAACTTTCAGCCCCTCTTTTCACTATTGCCAACCTCATTTTTCCATATAAGAATCCTCCCAATTTTAGTGGCCACCTTTTCTATTTATACTAAGGGAATAACCTAGGTTTTTGTGTCAAAATTCATTTAGTGCCCTAAAGTACATTCCCTCACGTGAAGGTGGTTACAAAGGTGACAATGGTCTGCTCATAAGTTGTTGGTAGTAGAAATCATTTGGTGAAAAGGACAGTTGGCCTTGTGTGAAATTATCTTCAACTTTTTTGTCCTTTTCTACACCCAAAAATGCCATGGCACGTTTCTTTTCACCTCACCACGACAAGTTTCTTTGCACTTCCTTGCTCTTAGAACCTACACATCAACATCCAAACCAGGCCTTTCCCATAAAATAGCATCATTCATAAAATAAAATGCTAAGAAAAAACAAGTCCACCAAATACAATTATATGCTCCTAAATGCATCTAAATGAACCTACATACGCCTTAAAACAACTAAAAACTTAAGTGAAAAGGCCCTAAATATAGTCTTTTTACGGAGTTATCACACCTCCAAACTTATGCGATAGCTTGTTCTCAAGTAATGGATAGTAGTCAGCAAAAGAAAAATGTCATAACAAAGTTCAGTTTTAAGATAGTCATATGGGATAGAGTCTCAGCCCTCAGAAATGTATTGGCATCAACAATTTAGACAAGTGGAGATTTCAAGAATAATACCATAGGGCAAGATCTTTTACGAGTGTGTGTGCGTGTTTATATCCAATCTATGCTTAGTTAAGTTAGAAAGATTATGAAGAAAGTGATAACTCTATAAAAAGGATAAATTTAGGGCCTTTTTACTTAAGTTATTGGTCATCTTATGGAACATTTAGGATCATTTAGATGCATTTAAGAGCATATAACTGCATTTGGTGGTTTGTCTTTGTCGTGGCATATTATTGTGTAAATGGTGCTATTCTACAAGGAAGTATTGTGCTTTGCTAGTGATGTGTAGCTCAATGAAGCAAGGGGTGAACATGGAGGAATGTCGCGTCATCTTCAGATGGAAAGCAATGAAGAATTGTCGAAGCAAATTAGGATAAATCCTGTACGCAGAAAAAGACAAACATGAAGAAGATATTTTCATGTGAACTGCCAGCTATACACACTCAAGTATTTTCTGCCACCAAACGACTAGGAGGGGACCATATTTTCACATGAGGGGAATGTACCTTGGGATACTAAGGGAATTTTTTCACTAAAACCTAGGACATTCATTTAGTATAAATAGAAAAGGTGGCCATAAAATAAGAGAGAGGATTCTTTAAGGGAGCAAGGAGGCTAGGAAGCATCCAACTTTCTTTCCTCTTTCATCTTTTTAAGGGTCTCCTCCATAGTCAAGCTCAAGAGAGTGGCGTGCTAGGCATCCGAGAGGAGCTAACTCGCTAAGGTGTCATTCTTGTTGGTCCGAGGAGTAACCGGTAAAAGTGTCATCCACTCTTATGATTTATTAGGTTGTATAGTTTGGAATATTATCATGGATGTTTCAAACCCCACCATGAACTAATCCTTATATGGTGTGGGTTTTTATGGATGATTAAGTGTTTATTTTAATGAATGTATTGAGTTTTTATGTCCATTTTTTAAGTATATTGCTTAGTGTTCGAGAGAAACTCTGTTATAGATCCTTAATGTTCGAGAGAAACTAAGGGATGATCTACTTGAGCAACGGGTTTTAGCTGCCAACTAGAACCTAATCAACCTTAGAGATAAGATTAGGATTTTAACGACTAAAAGAAGTAATACATATTTAATAGGTTCGATGTTATTGTTCACGCCATCGTGGCATTTGTTTCTGTCAGGTTCCCTTGACTTGATAGAGCGTAGGGACACTCCTAGTAAACCCTGTCCAAAAAATAGGCCAAAAAAGCTTGAATCATTATGAGAGGAAAGGATTAGGATTCTTTAGAAATTTCACCATTCATTTCTATAGTTGCTTGTCGTGTGAAGATTATTAAGTATGCTTACTTATTTCTGAATTATCAACTTGTTTTGCATTGATATTTTCAGTTGTTTACATTTCAATTACATCTTAAATTGTCACGACGTTTCCATCTACCTTATTTCCATCACATTTCCACAATACCATTCATATTCGATCCATTTTTCCACTACATTCTCATTTGTGCATATCACCACACTAATTGTACTTAGATAGTTTAATATTCGTGCTTTAACTTAACTTACAATTTCCTCCAATCATCGCGGGAACGATACTCACTAACTCTTTATTACTTGTGTGACTGTTTATACTTGCACATATTTTGCATCCAATTTATAGTACTCACAACACACACCAAGTTTTTGGCGTCGTTGCCAGGGATCGACAATTGAAAGTTTAACAGTTTTTTATAGCATTTTTATTTTACTCCTGTTTATTTTTCTAGTGCAGTTTTACTTGTTATTTTCCTTTTTAGGCTTTGCCATTTCATGATCAGAAGGACTATTGAGGAACCTCTTTATGTTATATTACATGAAATCGAACATTTTTTCCGTAAAAGATGACGTGCTCAATGTGCTAATAGAGCCATGAACAACAATCAAAACCTAGGTGTTCAGAGAGTTCAAGATACTGCAGATCTGAATACTACGAAAAATCAGAATGTTGGAATTGTACCCCGAACTAGAGCTATTCGAGATCACTTAACTCCTATTTTGGATGATCTTAATCCAGGCATTGTCGCACCCAAGATTCATGTAGCTCACTTTGAGCTCAAGTCAGTCATGTTTAACATGTTGAATTCTATAGGACATTGTGGGGGCATGCCTCATTAAGATGCTAGGAAACATTCATTCATGTTGAAGCTTAAATTATTTCCATATTTTTTGCATGACCAAGGCTAAAGCTTGGTTGAGTGGAATCCCATTCAATTTGATGGAGTCATGGGCTTATCTGTACAAAAGATTTTGCCATGGTATAATCAATCGAACATGAACACTCAACTTAGAAATGCCATATCATCATTCCGTCAAGCTGATGACGAGTCCATGTATGAGTGTTGGGATCGATACAATGGATTGCTTCGGAAATGTACTAATCATGGATTTCAAGATTGGACTCAAGTTGTAATGTTTTAGAATGGAGTCAATACATCCACGAGGATAATTCTAGATGCCTCGACAAATAATAGTTTGCTAGACAATTCACATGAAGAGGCATTTGACATTCTTGATAGATTGCCAACAATGATTACCAGTTCACTTCTTCAAAGCTTGGAACAAGGAGGAGGACATAAGGGACTTTCAAGCTCGATGCTAAGGATTCCGTTTTTGCCCAACTTTCAGCTATCACCAATATGTTAAAGAGTATGTAGCGTTGCAATGAGGTGAGAGAAGTGAAGGTGGCCAATTCAACATGCCTATTATGTCGCGGTAATCACCATGAGAGTGAATGCCAAGAAAATCAAGAATCTATCAACTATGTGGGGAATTTCAACTGAAGCACCAGAAACAATCCCTACTCCAACACTTATAACTCAGGCTGGCATCAGCACCCTAATTTTTCGTGGGGAAATCAAGAAGCCACTAATACTAGTCATCCAACTCGACATCAGAATGTAAACGATCCCCAAGGTTTTCAATAAAATACACCTTGGCATAATCCTAACAAGGGGAAACATCTTCATTTAATACTAGCTCACTAGAGGCTACCATGCAAGAATTTATAGCAAGAACACAAACTATGCTGCAAGAGCATTCGTCAGCTATAAAAAATCAAGGAACCTTGATGCAAAGTCACAGTGCATATCTGTGAGCTTTGGAAGGTCAGGTTGGTTAGATTGCCACGACATTACAAGAACGTCAGCCAGGTAGTCTGCTAAGTGACATTGAAGTCACTAAAACTCATGACAAGGAATAATATACTACATTTACATTTCGAAGTATCACCCAAATCAACCAACAAGACAAGTTTGGGGAAAGAAAATTGATAATTCTACCCCCATAAATATGCAAGCAGAATTGGAATTGACAGAAGAGGTCTTCGAGGAGAAAGATAATGATGAGGGTTCAATTAGTGAACCTGCTAATGTGGTAAATAAAAAGTCCACAGAAAAAGTTGTTCTCACACTATCAGTAGTAGAAGTCAAACCCCCACCACCCTTCCCCCAAAGACTTAAGAAGAACAATAATGATGTCCAGTTTAATAATTTTGTTGACATTCTGGATCAACTCTATATCAACATCTTACTTCTGAAAGCCATCGATCATATACCAAATTATGCCAAATTCCTTAATGAGATTGTTACCAAGAATAGAAAAGTCGAGAAATTTGAGACATTTTCCATAACAAAAGAATTTTGCTCTGCCTTGAACAAGCTACCGCCAAAGCAAAAAGATTCGCGAAGATTTTTCATTCCATGCTCTATAGGAGAAAACTATGTTGGGAAGGCACTGTGTGACCTTGGATCAAGTGTGAATCTAATGTCCAAGTCAATATATTTAAATCTTGAGATGGGAAATGCAAGACCCACCTCCGTTATTTTGCAACTAGCCGATAATTCTCATGTTCGTCTCGAGGGAAGGATCAAAGATTTCATAGTGAGGGTGGACAAATTTGTGTTCCCAACCGACTTCCTTATACTTGATTACAAGGTTGATGCCAATACACCCATAATTTTGGGGAGACCTTTCCTAGCCACTTGTCGCATACTTATTTATTGTGAGAAGGGTGAACTTACTATGTGAGTAGCCGATCAAAGTGTGACCGTGAATGTCTTTCATTCTCTTAGGTATGTGGAATGATTATGAAGAATACCAGAGCATTTTGAAAATGAACTCAAAGATGGAAGAAGAAGATGACCAACTTTTCCACAACAATTTCATCCAGCTGTATGATTATGAAAAGATCTTGGAGGAGAACAAGAAAGAGAAAGCCGAAGAGTTCCCATTAGAGGTACAAGAGTTTAGCTTACTCTTAGCTAGACCTAGTATGTGCTTTGAACCCCTTGATTTTGATGAGTTTATTCATCATAAGACTTCATTGCAGCATGCACCCAAATTGGAACTAAAAACTTTGCCACTGCATCTTAAATATGCTTACTTGGGTGATGATGAGACTTTGCATGTGATTATTTCCTATAGTCTTAAGCCTGAACAAGAATGAAAATTGCTAACTATTTCTTCACATCATAAGAAAACTTTAGGTTGGACTATGGAAGACTTGAAGTGTAATACCCCAAATTTTGTCTAGGGACTAAAGTGTAAGTTTTGAAAGTTTAGTGGCTAAAGTATAAACTTTGAAAAGTTTATGGACCAAAATTGTAATTTTTAAGAGTAATACATTTTAGCATGTAAATGAACAGTTTGGATTAAAACATAGATTTTAGTGGGAATCAGATTTTGGTACATGAATTGTGTTAAAAGCTATACAGTAGTAAAGTTCGGTATTGAAATCAAATATTCGAATCGAATTAGAATTTTACGAAAATTTGAAGGATGTTATAAAATGTTTGGAAATATTATTTTAATATTTTAAATCAGAGAAATTTGGCTCAGAACTATACAATTTTTCAGATTTGACCGAAACAGTGGAATTTAGTGACTTTGAAAATTGCATGGTAAAATTTTGTAAGTCAAAGTCAAGTTGATTCATCTTTGATCAAGGAATATTTTATTGGAAAATATGAAAATGGCAATAAAATTACATTAATGGAAAAAATGAAATTTTCTATTAAATTGAATAAAAAAGTCAATTTAATTATATTTAAGCCACGTGTTAAGATAATAATTATTATTATATTCAAGAAAGCTGCACATCTTTCAGCAATCAGTTCTCTCCATCGACACTTGAGGTTCTTCAAGGTAAGGAATTTTATTTTCAAATTTTGAAGTTATTTACTTGATTTTTGAGTTTAGCTATTAGATAGAGAATTAATCTACATGAAATTCTCTATCATTTGGTACCAAATTTTCATGGTGAAGATAAATGTGTGATGAGATTTTATGATTTGAGGTTATGAAGAGTTTAGTGGTTTTAAAGAATTAGTTGTAAGAATTGATGAAGAACCTAAGGATGTAAATTAAGGAAAACAATTTAGATTTTTGAATCTGGCATTGAGTTTGAAAATTCACCAGAATTTTGTAGATATGATTTGGAGTTTATTTTTTATATTGTGTTCGCATATCAATCTAGTTTTGTTTAAAACAAACAGGGATCAATTTCAATATATATACAAAAAGATATAAATTTTTAACCGAGGAAAGGTCAGAAAAACGGAGCAGCAGATTCTGTACAAAACAGATTTTGTGGGTCAACTTTAAAAATTTACCATAAAATGTAAAAAATGAAATAAAAGGAGTTCTTTATATGTATAGATTCATATTCGAGTCTAGTTTTAAATGGAAGAAACGTAATTAAAATTCAGTGTGTATATCAATACAAAATACTGATTCTTTAAAGGTAGTGCGATTTGTCTGAATATGAAAAAGTTTAGAATTCAAGTGAAAATGGATTAGAAATTGAAGAGTAATGTTTAAATGTTGAGTATATTTTTGGATGCTTGGGATTGAAGTTAAATGGAAAGAGACCATTTTGAATAAATTAGAAATGTTGAGAAGAATTCTAAAAGAATTCATTTTAATGGTTAGATGATGTAATTCGAAAGGCTTTAAAACTTTGGGGACTTGTTTGCAAGTTATTAAATGAAGAAGTATTATTTGAGCATTTTATTAAAGTGCTGGAATTTTTATATTTAATGTGCAATGATTTTAATGGTGAAGGGCCATTCTATATAAGTTGGAAAAGTTGGTGCCAAAATTAAAAAGGAATTAATAAGCGTTAAGTATTTTGGTAGAAAATGAGTTTCAAGTATATTATGGATTTTGGTTTTGGGGATGTGTTTATGTTAGTATAATACTAACATATGTATTGTTATGAATTTACGATTTTGTACAGATCGTGGTTTATTTGTGATCAAAGCAAGTCAAGTATAAATGGGTTTATTGTGGATCATAGTGAGGCACATATTTTGGAATTTATAAAGTGTTAAGGTGAGTGCAATACATGCATGACATTGTACATATATGTTTTATACATCATGTATATAGATGTTTTACACATCATCTGGAAGACTTGTGATAAGTCACCTTGTTTATGTTGACATGATATTTATGTCATTTATCATATTTGACATATTTTAATATGTCAAAGGTTGAATATAAAATGCATTGATCACTGATTTTTACATATGATGTTATTTGAACATATATGATTTTGATAACTCCGTAAAAAGACTTAATTCCTAGTCTTTTCACTTAAGTTATTGCTCGTCTAGACAAAGTATGCATTGCATTTTTAGTTGCATATAGATTATTATATTGTGGTGGATAAGTTTTGCTTAGGCAAGATTTATTTGGTTTGACTGATGCTGCTGAAGAGAAAGGGTTGTTTGAGTTGTGTTTGTGCAGGAATCTTACAGAGGAAGAACATTTCAGTCGTGACGATGAAAAAGTGCAGAGGCCAACGGAACAGATGAGAACGTGAGAAGTAGATTTATCTTGCCAAGGCAAGATTTATTTGAGGAAGTCTGAAGCAAGTGTGGCTAAACCGCATATGTCACACGCCAGCTGGATGACATACTTCACGTACAAGCAAGCCTCAATTATTCTGACACCCGCCAGCTGCCTTTCCTTTTTAAGTCCGGGCAATTAATAACGGCTAGTTATGGAAACTCCAAAAGTTTACAAAGCCCTGGGAGATTTTCCTTAAAAATAATCAACCGTACCTGCCAAAAAAGAGAGGCAAGGAAGAAGAGAGAAGAGCTTGACCTAAGGCGTGAGCAAGCAACTGTAGTGCTTTCCCACCGTCTACCCACCAACCTTCCTTGGTGTCCTCCATAGCTAGACGATAGTAGAGAGGTGATCAGGCCTTGAGAAAGGGTGATCACCAAGGCAGGCGCGGTGCTGATCAAGATTGTCGCAACAGAGCCCCTGGTTTTGGGAGTCGTTCTTCCTTTATTTTTAACTCTTTATCTATTTGGGGTTGTAATTAAACATTTAATATTGGATAATATTTGATAGCACCATGAATGCTTTACTTGGTGTTAAACTTTGTTTTGCTTGAACAATATTTTATATTTATGAATGATGAAGTATGTTTCGCTTATGACTATTTTGTTCATAGTTTAAATATTTTACCTTAGCACTGTAAGAGCATCGCGAGATAGCCTTGGGTTTTGGTAAAACATGTCTTGGTATTGTAAGAGCATCGAGAGATAGCCTTTTGTCTAGATAAGCGATTCTTAAATTCGAGAGAATTAAGATAGATCAATGTGAGCAATGGAATGAATCCGGGATGGTGAAGTTCTAACGTATCTACCTTAGAGATAAGGAGTGAGTTTCAAACGACTAAAAAGGATAGATGCTAGAGTAGGAGAGACTACGTCTATAGTTAACGCCGAGAGGTATTGCCATAGGAACCATCTAAGAATACCTAGTAATCTTGTTGGGCAGTTTTAGTGAGTCATAATAAGTTATTCTAAACTGAAAATATTTGTTGTCAAGACAATGGTTTAGCATAAGTGCTCTGTGACACGTCTGAATATGAGAGGTTGTTTATATTATATTTAAATCATCAATTATTTTATTAGTCTGCATATTAATTTTGCCTCAACCAAACTTTTCTGGAATCATTGAATCATTTTCTTAGTTTATTAATATTAGTTCTTAGGGATAATACTTAGTAGAACTTAGTTTGTGACATTAGTTCTAGTTGTGGTGAAAATATATTTCTAATCTAATCCCTATGGAGACGATACTCACTCACTACTATATTACTTTCATCGATTATGTATACTTGCACATATTTGCTTTCCTTAGCATATACATTTACAAGCGATCAAGTTTTTGGCGCCTTTGCCGGGGATTGGCAACTGACGATATTTTTAGCCATAACAAGTTCTCTTTGTCAATCTATATTACTCTAACGTAGTTTAATATTTTCTCTTATAGGTTTTAATTTTTTGGATGACCTTGAGATCTTATGGTAGTGAGATCAAGAGTAATTAATCTTCAAGTTGCAAGACCAAGAGTAATACGATATCATTTGAACCCTATTCTCGATGACCTCAATCTAGGCATAGTGGCACATGAGATCCAAGCCACTCACTTCGAACTCAAACCGGTGATGTTTAACATGTTAAACTCTATCGGACAATTTGGTGGTTCACCTAATAAAGATGCGAAATAACATGTTCGTGCTTTCCTTGAAGTATGTGACTCGTTTCGGCAACAAGGAGTACATGAGGATGTGCTAAAACTGAAGCTTTTTCCTTACTCCCTACGCGATAGAGCAAGAGCCTGGCTCAGCGGAGTTCCTTCCGGTTCAATGGAGTCATGGGAAGACTTATGCAAGAGTTTCCTACTGCAATACAATCCGCCCAATATGAACACTTAGCTTCGCAATGACATTGCTAGTTTTCGCCAAGGAGATGATGAATCAATGTACGAATGCTGGGATAGGTATAAAAGTTTACTTCGCAAATGTGTTAACCATGGATTTCACGATTGGACGTAAGTGGTAATGTTTTACAATAGAGTCAACGCACTAAGTCGAATGATGCTAGATGCCTCAACGAATGGCACCTTACTAGACAAATCACCCGAGGAAGCCTTTGACCTCCTCGACAGGATAGCAAATAATGATTATCAATTTCCAAGTGCAAGATTGGGAACTGGCAGAAAAACATCAGGAGCATATGAATTAGAAGGTAAAGATTCAGTAGCAGCTCAACTTTTAGCCATAACCAATATGTTGAAAAATTTGCAACGTCCTAATGAGGTAAGAGAAGCCAAGGTGACCAATAATGTATGCCTATTTTGTCACGGCAATCATCATGAGAGTGAATGTCCTGAAAACCATGAGTCAACCAATTTTGTGGGCAACTACAATCGGAACAATAATAACCCCTATTCGAATACATACAATCCTGGTTGGAGACATCACCCAAAGTTTTCATGGAGTAATCAAGGGAACAATAACAATCAATTCGCAACTACAGGTCACAACAAAATAATTTTGACCATAAACATTTTCAGAATCATCATCATCAGCAGCCCTGGCAGAACAATAAAGGTATAACTTCTTCCTGTAACACCAATTCGAAT